TATATACAAAAATATGAAAATATTATTTATTTTATATAGAATATATATATATATATATATATATATAAATATGAATTAAATTTAAAATATAGAGTGTAGTCTTCAAGTAGTAAACAGTCAATAATAAAAGAAAAAAGATAGACAGTAATAAGCAAGAACGCATTCATTTTTATAATAATAAATGTTGTTCTTCTGAACTTTCTATTCATCACAAATCCTGTAACGTATATCAGTTTTCACAAAAATATGAAGCATCACAACTGTTTTAACATTGGTAATAATAAGAAATGTTTGAGCACCAAATTAGCATGCTGAAATGATTTCTGAAGGATCATGTGACAATGAAGACTGGAGTAATGGCTTCTGAACATTCAGCTTTGCCTTCACACAAATTATGTTTTAAATTATATATCAAAGAGTTATTTTAAATTGTAATAATATTTCACAATATTACTGTTTTTACTGTATTTTTTTAACAAATAAATTAAAATGAAAAACATGAGATGGTCGGAATGGTTCTTGTTAATTGTATGTGTGTGAGCTGTTTTTGTAGATCATTTCTATGAGCCTTCATGGGAAAAGTCTGAGCAGGTAGAAGTCTTATTGATTTTTTTTTTATCTGTATCTCTCTCCAGGCCGGGGTCCTGTGCTGGTGATGGCCCTGCTGCTGGTTATAAGTCCTCCACAGATTTCCCTGATGAAACTCTTACATTCATTAAGTCTTATCCACTAATGGATGAGGCCATACCGTCTGTCAACAACCGACCCTGCTTCACACGAACCACTAGCAGGTATGCACACACAAACACACGACAGAAATTATACACTTGACCACTCATTATTTTAGCACTCTAAAATGTCTCTCGTTATTTCTCCAGTTGTGTTCTTAAAGGGCTAGTTCACCCAAAAATGAAAATTAGCCCAATATTTACTCACCCTCAAGCCATCCTAGGCGTATATGACTTCTTTCTTTCAGACGAATCCAGTCAGTTATATTAAAAATTGTCTTTGATCTTCCAAGCTGCTTAATGGCAGTCAGCGGGTGTTGCAGTTCATCAGTCCAAAAGAAGTGAAATAAAACGCATCCATCCATAATAAAAAGTGCCTCACACGGCTCCGGGGGGTGAACAAAGGCGTCCTGTAGTGAATCGATGCGTTTTTGTAAGAAAAATATCCATATTCAAAACGTAATAATCACTTTAATCTAGCTTGCGCCAACAGTTGTACACGGAAGCAGCTCCGGGAGGATGACGTAAGATGTCGGCGTTGCGCATGCGCCGGTGAGTCTTGTGAAAACCAACGTTTGTTTACAGGAGCAAAGGAAGCAAAGTTTCCTTACTTTAGCAAAGGAAAACCAGTCTCCTCTTGGCTTATATCGAAATCCTCCGACATTATTCTTTACAAATCCTCGTTTTGTACTTCTAATTCGTGACCGTTGTTTTGTTTTGATCTCTCCCCTGCGCTCCCGCGTTCGTCACTTCTGAGCGGCGCATGCACAACGCCGACGTCCTACGTCATCCACCTGTCCATCCATCCATCCATGGCTGCTTCCGTGTACAACAGTGAGCGCAAGCTAGATTAAAGTGATTATTACGTTTTAAATATGGTTATTTTTCGGTCACTTCTGAGCGACGCATGCGCAACGCCGACGTCCTACGTCATCCGCCCAGAGCTGCTTCTGTGTACAACAGTGAGCGCAAGCTAGATTAAAGTGATTATTACTTTATTATTAAGTTATTATTACATTTAAATATGGTTATTTTTCTTACAAAAACGCATCGATTCGCTACAGGAGGCCTTTGTTCACCCCCCCGCAGCCGTGTGAGGCACTTTTTATTATGGATGGATGCGCTTTATTTCACTTCTTTTGGACTGATGAACT